ATTGGAGAGCTGATAAAATCCTACAAACTCAAGCCAGACTGGCGTTTTGCTCAGAAGGAATACTCAGGCACGTGCTACAGGACCAGTTATGAGAGAGGGAATACTGTAGATTTGTGTAAGATTGTAAGCTGTTGTGCTGGACTGCAGGCTAGCCCATACCGTACACCCATACACTGATTCCTGCTCTTTTAGGGTAATAACAGGTAAGGTGTGGCAGCTTAGTTGTGCCCGCCAGTAGGTAAATGACTTCACTTTCTACCTTCATCCATCAGAAGGCGCCGTGCTGTGCAGTACAAGGGTCTCAGCCTTTGGGCTGGGTGTATGTAAATTTATTGTATGTTTCCAGCATTTGTGGTTGTGTTTATTTGCCACATCTAAGTAAAATTCTGTTGTGGCAAAAGCTGGGTGTTGGGGTTGCTTTCCTCGTTCGTGACTTCACTGTATCCTGGGGAGCCCACCCTGGTACACGGCTTACATATATTCTGTATATTCCTTCTAGCAATTTTGTTTTTTTATTTTCTGACTTTTGATTTAAGGTGACACAAAACAATATCCTTATCCTCAAAAAATAATCATAGTTACATACTGTAGTTACATAGTTAGTCTGGCTGAAAAAGACAAAAGTCCATCCAGTTCAACCATTAAAAAAAAAAAGTCATAATCATATACCCACAGTTGAACCAGAGGAAGGCAAAAAAAACCCCAGCAAAGCATGATCCAATTTGCTCCTGCACGGGAAAAAACGCCTTCTTGATCCCCCGAGAGGAAATCGGATATTCCCTGGATCAACTTTACCTATAAATGTTAGTATCCAGTTATATTCTGTGTATCCAAGAAATAATCCAGGACTTTTTTAAAGCAATCCACTGAGCTGGCCAGAACCAACTCTTGAGGGAGTCTATTCCACATTTTCACAGCTCTCACTGTGAAGAAACCTTTCCGTGTTTGGAGATTAAATTTCTTTTCCTCCAGATGTAAAGAGTGCCCCCTTGTCCTCTGTGATGACCTCAGGGTGAATAACTCTACACCGAGTTCACTATATGAACCACTGATGTATTGATACATGTTCATCATATCCCCCCTCAATATACATTGACTGCTTAATGGCTGTCAAATCTATTTTGCATGAAATTGTTTCTTACTGTGTTTTTCTGCTTCCTTGTAATGACCTCTGTGAGCTCCTGAATCCTTTTTTTTTCTGTTTTTTGGAATGATTTGTGGTCATGTGCACTGCTCTATGCACACTACAAAGCCCATAGTCAATAGTCTATATTCCATCTCGGGAGCAGAAGCAAGTAAGGGTGGCTACGTTCCTACATAGAGTGGAACCAAAGGGAAGAAACGTAGCCACCCTCTAACAGGAACTCAGATCACAGCAGCACAAATAAAGCACTTGAGAGATTTGGAGGAGGCAGAAAGCAATAGAGGGAACCTTTTTTGAGTTAATAATACATACTTGCATACAATTTTTTTTTTTTAAACCATAATTTAGTGTAAAAAAAAAAAACAAACAAGGGCGCACGCTCATCGTGCATGACCGTGGCAGTCCACGTATTTATTAATAAAAAGGATTATATACTCACAAACCAACGTGATAAAAAGCAGTAAGGTGGTCCACAAAAACAGTGACAATATGGCTGTGTCTAATGATGCGGATATTCTAACGCGTTTCGGGAGCTGTACCCCTTCCTTGAGCTCTGAGGAAGGGGGTACAGCTCCCGAAATGCGTTAGCATATCCGCATCACTAGACACAGCCATATTGTGACTGTTTTTGTGGACCACCTTATTGCTTTTTATCACGTTGGTTTGTGAGTATATAATCCTTTTTATTTAATAAATACGTGGATTACCACGGTAATGCACGATGAGAGTGCGCCCTTGTTTGTTTTTTTTTTTTCCACTAGTGGCCAGATTACCCGATCTCAGAAGGGCAGCACCTCTTCGGTTGGCATTTTGACATATCTTTGGTTTGCATGAAGATTTGAGCGCTGGTTCTGTTTTGTTTATCTTTAGAATTTAGTGTCACTTTAATTTCAAATGTCATTTTTGTGTTTGATTGGAGTGTTCCTTTAACTCTCCGCTGTGTACCTCGATCGCTGTGTTTGTTGTCCCTGGCTGTCTGGCAGTTCTTTATTCCTGAAAAATACATTATGCTTTTCTCTTATCCTGTCACTAGCTGAATGACAGTCACTGGCGGTGTACACCATGGCATGTTTGCCTTTCTGTAATAAATGGGTCTGTAATTTTAACAGCTGGCAACATGCTTATCTAAAGACAATACAATCATTTATTATAGTGATTTTAAACAGACGTTTCCTGAGTGCTGTGTTAACGCTCCTCAGAATTGTTTGATTTGATTATTGTTCAATGTTGTCATACTAGCTAGTTGTGGTGAAATAATTATGATTCATTATTGCATATATACAGTCAGGGCTTTTTTTCAGCAGGAACGTGGGGGAAACGCAGTTCCAGCACCTCCAGCACTGAATGTATGTAATGTCAAAGGGTGCTTGGGTGTTCTAGAAGGTCTATTGATGGTAGATACTGAGAGATCTATTGTCACTGGAGGGGATCCTTTGTTTGCATGGGGGTATATTGTTGCTGGTGGTGGGATATATTGTTGATGGGGGGTCTTATGTTGATGGGGGTCAATTGTTGCTGAGAAGGATCTACTGTTGAGGGAGAGGTCTTTCTGTTGCTGGCTGCTGGAGGGACTGTTAATGCTGGCTGCTGGGAGGTCTGTTGTTGCTGCAGGGGGTCTAATGTATTTGGGATGGTATTTTGTTGTGGGGGTCCATTGCTGTGGGAGAGGGCGTAGGGGACAGAGACAAGGGGTGAGTTAGAGGGGGGAGTTCCTGCATCTATTCTCTGAGAAAAAAAGCCCTCTGTACAGTACCGATGTGTAAAGCTGGCCAAATGCATTACGATCAGAATATACAATCTCAGTTTTACGGAATATCCAATTGCCTCTCGGGGGATCAGGAAGGAATTTTTTTCCCAGCAGGAGCAAATTGAGTCATGCTTTGCTGTTTTTTTTTGCCTTCCTCTGGATCAACTGTGGGTATAGGATTATAACTTTTTTTTTTTATGGTTGAACTGGATGGACTTTTGTCTTTTTTCAGCCAGACTAACAATGTATGTAAAGAAATCTCATGGTTTGTAGGGTCATATACAATCCAGTGCAATCACTAAAATGTGATTGTTCATAAAGAAAAATTCCAGATATGGATATTTTTACATAATTACATTGGTCCTGATTGGCCCAAACTATGGGGAAGATTTAATGAAACTGGAGCACTCAGAATCTTGTGCAGCTGTGCATGGGAGCCAATCAGCTTCTAACTTCAGCTTGTTCAGCTAAGCTTTTACAATAAACCCTGGAAGCTGATTGGTTTCTATGCAGAGCTGACCCAGATTTTGCACTATGCAGCTTTAGTAAATATCCCCAGTATGTATATACCATACCTGTGGGATCCTTCTAGAAGCTGATAATTACTACAGTAGACATCGAAACTCCACTGATCTCAACTAGCTTCCAGGTCCTGTGCCGAATGGCTGTCCTGATGCATTCTGAACATAGGAAGTTGGATGCTGGGCTCTGGCACCATTTAAGGAACCCGTTCCATTTTCTCAATAAATGCTAAGTATTTTCTGATTGGACAAGATAAAGAGGCAAGGTGGTGATGTCATGATCTCCACCTCATCCAATCACAGAATGTTTTGCCTTCACTGAGAGAATGGAAAGTATTTTCTGAATGATGCCCATTCTAAGAAGGCAACCTCCTGTGTTCAGTAAGCAGCAGAGCAACCACTCTGCTCAGGACCATAAAGTAAGTGGCAATCACTGTACTAGGCAGCTTCCATGGGGATCCACAGATAAGGCACATATATGCTTACATTAGGCCAAGGAGCACCAATGCAATTATTTAAAAATTGCCACACCTGGATATCTTCTTTAGGCTCCATGCACACTGGGATTAAAAAAAACGCCAGTTCCCTTGGCAGAAAAAGATGCCGATATAGAACGTTTTTCTACACAGTTTAGGTGAATTTAGCATTTTTTTTGCCAGAAAGCTCCAATCAAATACACAAACCAGAAGGATTTTTTCTTGCCTCTAAACGTTGAGGCTAAAATATGCCTCTAATCATCCCAATGTGAGCGGACATATAGGCTAACACTGAGCTGTTTCTACAGGCAAAACACAAAACTCCCGTAGAAGCAGCGATTTTTAAGCTAGTGTGCATGGAGCCTTAAAGAGGAACTTCACTCCCTCCCCACCCCCCATTATTTCCACACCTCGTACCACTATAGGCAAACTGTGCACGAAAATCATACTTACACTCCCAGCGGCGATCAAGGGAACCATTGCTCTGCCGCAGCACCACCAGTCCCATGCTATCATCTTCTTCTGACATCGTCAGAAGGGCCAGTTGTCTTTGCCGAGTTCTTGCAGCCAACTCTGTGATGTTACTCTTGCACCGCAATTCATCATCGAGAGGACGGCAGATAAAACCTTTCCCTTGATGATATTACACAGCTCTAAACACCATATTCAAAATAGTGACAGTCCACCATAGTCACATGAATGTCCACATCAAGATATGTTCATGGTAATGGATGTGCTTCACATAATAGTAGAAGAAGAGAAAGACCCACTTATCCAATAGGACTGAAGAGAGAGTAACACTCTAGGTTACTTCTGGTGACTACAGGTGAGTGAGCCCTCACCGGAACTGTTGGGCTCTCAATTTACTGAAAAGCCAAAAGCGTATAAAGGGATCAATCCCACGACATATTCATGCTGTATGGTGGTACTCCACTCCTATGGCTCCACTGTATCTTCACTCTCCATCAGTAGCGGTATATAGAATACATAAAAGCCAATAGTGCAGTATGTTTCAAAAGAAATTACTTTATTAAAAAAGTATTGCACTTACAATAGGTAGATATGGAAACATCACAGAGCTGCAGCAATCCCAATCAGGGGTGGACTGACCATTTGGAAACTCGGGCACTGCCCGACGGCCCAGGGTCAGTAGGCGGCCCCATGAGATGCCCCTGGTACCTTTTTCATAGGCTTTTTTGAGTTTGGGCAAGGACACAGGGGCCCCATGATCCCCTATTGCCCGGGGGCCCCATGAGTTGTCAGTCCACCCCTGATCCCAATGCATAGCAAATTCCGTCCGACGCCGCTCAGCTCAGGCTCCTCCCAACGCATTTCATCAGAGGACTTACGTCGTCAGGGGTGTGTCAGTCCTATGCAATTTATTACTTTTTCCTGGAAATATCTTTTTCACAGACCATTGTTCATATTTCCTGGTTGCATGCCTAGGTAGGAGTTATATAGACAGCTGCACGCAGCCTCCTGAGATGAGTGAGGTGAGCATCCTAGGATGCTGCAGGAAGCTGCACCTAGAGCCTATCAGCAAGAAACAAGGAAGTCCAGACAGTGGTTCTTGAGAAAGGTAGTTTCCAAATATAAATACATCAATACAAATATCTAATTGTGTGAGAGGAAGGGGGCAGGAGAGGAAGGCAATATGAGATAATGTGGATGGGAAGGTCTGCTACAAAGGATGAATATGCCTTTCAAGTGAACCAGAAATAACATCAAACCCCTAAAAGTGCCTCTAGCACGGAAGCTTCACAGAAGCAGGAAGATCAGGGATGGAAACCTAGGGGTTATCTTATTCATATGGGAATTTGTGGTGGTATTTGATCAAGGTGTCTGGATTGTGGGCCGACAGCTTCTCCATGCCAAACGATTTCCACTGTTTCCTTGGCTGGTAACTTGTGATAGAATAGGAACATTCTACAGTAGTTTTTTTCATGATTATTTCTATTACCATTGTTTCTTTTGTTACCATTCATTTTTTCATGTTGCAGTGTTCCATTTTACTGTGTTTTTTACTATTATTGTCGGTATAAGCTCCAGCATTTATTATGAAATTTCACATTGATTATATTTTATTGATAAGATATACAGCCAATTGAGAGTAGCATTGAACCATATATATTTTATGTACTTTATACATATCCATGATTTTATCAGATTCATATATCTTATATTAGCTTTCACGTTTATACATGTGTTTATATACATTGTTTATAACTATATTCACTCACTGGCTACTTTATTAGGCACACTGTTCAATTGCTTGGTAATACAAATTGCTAATCAGCCAATCACATGGCAACAACTCAATGCACTTAGGCATCTAGACATGGTGAAGACAACTTGCCGATTTTCAAACCAAGGATCAGAATGAGGAAGAAAGGGGATTTAAGTGACTTTGAACATGGCACAGTTGTTGGTGCCAGATGGGCTGGTCTGAGTATTTAAAAAACTGGTAATCTACTGGAATTTTCACACACAACCATCTCTAGGTTTTACAGAGGTTGGTTTGAAAAAGAGAAAATATCCAGTGAGTGGCAGACTGGTTGCTGTGACATTCAGATGGTAGGGTCAGAATTTGGCATAAACAACATTAAAGCATGGATCCATCCTGCCTTGTATCAATGATTCAAGTTGGTGGTGTAACGGTGTAGGGGATATTTTTTTGGTATTAGCAACGTGTTTCTAATAAAGTGGCCAGTGAGTGTATATATATCAGGGGCAGACTGACCATTCAAGCACTTCGGCACTGCCCGAGGGCCCGGGGTCAGTAAGGGGCCCCATGAAATGCCCCTGGTACCTTTCATAGGCTTTTTTGGGTGTGCTTTGAGTGTGGGCAAGGACACAGGGGCCCCATGATTCCTTATTGCCCAGGGGCCCCATGAGTTGTCAGTCCGCCCTTGATATATATATATATATATATATATATATATATATATATATATATATATTTCAATACCGGACACTTTCACCCCCTTCCTGCCCAGGCCAATTTTCAGCTTTCAGTGCTGTCACACTTTGAATGATATATATATAATTTACGTGGCCTACCACTTGGTGGCTGAGTTGCTGTTGTTCCCAGTTGCTTTCACTTTGTTATATTACCACTAACAGTTCACAGTGGATTTATTGCACAGATGGCAACCTATCACTGTACCACGCTTGAATTCACTGAGCTCCTGAGAGCGACCCAAATGTTTTTGTGGAAGCAGTCTGCATGCCTAGGTGCTTGATTTTATACACCTGTGGCCATGGAGGTGATTGGAACACACATATATACACATACATTTATTCTGGTATGAAGAGTTCCCTTCACTGGAACTAAGGGGCCAAGCCTGAGAAAAACATCCCCACACCATAATCCCCCCTCCACCAAACTTTACACTTGGCACAATGCAGTGAGGCAAGTACCATTCTCCTGGCAACCACCAAACCCAGACATATACATTGGACTACCAGGCAGAGAAGTGTGATTTGTCACTCCAGAAAACACGTCTCCACTGCTCTGGAGTCCAGTGGCGGTGTGCTTTACACCACTGCATCCAACGCTTTGCATTGCACTTGGTGATGTAAGGCTTGGATGCAGCTGCTCGGCCAAGGAAACCCATTCCATGAAGCTCTCTATGCACTGTTGTTGTGCTAATCTGAAGGCCACATGAAATTTGGAGGTCTTTAGCTATTGATTCTGCAGACAGTTGCCGCTTTCTGCGTACTGTGTGCTTCACCATACACTGACCCCGCTCTGTCATTTTACATGGCCTACCACTTCGTGGCTGAGTTGCTGTTGTTCCCAGTTGCTTCCACTTTGTTATAATACCACTAACAGCTGACCATGGGATATCTAGTAACAAGGAAATGTCATGGATGGACTTATTGCACAGGTGGCAACCTATCACAGTACCACGCTTGAATTCACTGAGCTCCTGAGAGCAACCCATTCTTTCACAAATGTTTGTAGAAGCAGTCTGCATGCCTAGGTGCTTGATTTTATACACCTGTGGCCATGGAGGTGATTGGAACACACACATATATAGAGACAGTTTGTCAGACGACCCCCAAACACTGAATTCAAGCCACAGTACACTGTGAAGACAGTGAAGCATGGTTGCGCAAGCATCATGATATGAGGATGTTCTCATACTTCGGTATTGGGCCTATTTATCGCATACCAGGGATCATGGACCAGTTTGAATACATCAGAATACTTGAAGAGGTCATGCTGCCTTATGCTGAAGAGGAAATGCCCATGAAATGGGTGTTCCAACAAGACAACGACCCCAAACACACCAGTAAACGTGCAACATCTTGGTTCCAGACCAACAAGATTGACGTTATGGAGTGGCCAGCCCAATCCCCGGATCTAAATCAAATAGAAAACTTGTGGGGTGACATCACAAATGCAGTTTCTGAGGCAAAACCAAGAAATAGATAAGAACTGTGGAATGTAGTCCAATCATCCTGGGCTGGAATACCTGTTCACAGGGGCCAGAAGTTGGGTGACTCCATGCAACACAGATGTACAGCAGTTCTCAGAAACAGTGCTTATACAACTAAAAATTAAGTGTTTCAAAGGAAAGCAAAATCTTCAAACATTTTTCAGTTTATATAGTGAATGTTTGAGTTTGTAAAGAAGAATACAAACACTGCTATTTTTTTGAACAGTCTAATATTCACTTTTCTTCAATTATTTTAGAGGAACAACACAAATTTGATCTATTTTTCTTCATGTTTTGATTTGGAATAGAATGTGTAGTGTTCCCAATGCATTTGTGTGTATGGAAATAAAAGCTATTAGAAGGATTTTGAGCTTTATTCACTTTTTTCAACACACTGCTATTATTTTGAACACAACTGTGTGTGTATATATATATATATATATATATATATATATATATATCTCAATGTGAAACACGTTGGTTCTATCCCTTACATTAATTCATACTGGAATAAATGTATACCTAGCCAGTTAACTCTGTATGTGATGCTTTAATCCCAGATACTATCACTAAAGCTGACACTTGCATGTGCAATGACACCTTATCTTTTCTTTCCTGAGCTGGAAAATCACAGCCAGTTCCTATATCTTCCACCTCACTACTAGCCTATCACGCTGATAGGTGGGCTCATTAGTCAAAACAGGTAATCAGCGGCTTAGCAGAGAATAAATGCAAAATGCGAGCATCTGGAGTTGTCCGCTATACAAGGTAAGTGGTACTTTTACCCTTTTATATGGTTTCCTTTAAAGTCCAACCCTGGAAATCTTTCAAATATCCCTTGCAGTGGGTCTGTGCTCGGATAATAACTGTTCTCCTCTCCCCTAGATTAAACACACAGGTAACCCTTGCCATGCGGGCACAACCCTACTGCAAGGCATCATTTCAGAGGCTAAGTTCACCTTTCAGAGCTGAAGGAAGTGTCAATGGACTACTGCACTGTTCACCACACTTCCATTGAGAATTCTCTGTGAATGAATGTCATGGCTGTGCGGGTGGAGCTGACAGCTGCTATTTGCAGAGGATCTCTGCTGTCACAGCTGTTATGGCTGATATGGGGGTAGGGGTTGCTTAGTAATATGTAATATGTTGATAAAGGTGGAGTTAGCCTTTTAGGTTTGGAGTTGGGCTTTAACCACTTGCCCTCTTGAGGATTTACCCCCCTTCCTGACCAGGCCTTTTTTTGCTATTCAGCGCTGCACTATTTCAACTGGTAATTGTGCGGTCATGCAATGCTGTACCCAAACGAAATGTACTTCCTTTTCTTCACACAAATAGAGCTTTCTTTCAGTGGTATTTGATCACCTGTGCTCTTTTTTTTATTTTTTGCTCTAAAAACAAAAAAATAGACCGAAAATGTTGATATAAAAACAATATTTTTTACTTTCGGCTATAAAAAAAAATATATAGTAAACTCAAAGTTAGTCATAAATTTAGGCCAAAATGTATTCTGCTACATGATTTTGGTAAAATAAAACCTAATAAGTGTATATTGATTGCTTTGTGTGAAAGTTATAGCGTCTACAAACTATAGTATAGATCAGGGGTGGGCAAACTTTTTGACTTGAGGGCCGCAATGGGTTCATATATTGGACCCGGGGGCCGGACCAAGTGTAGATGAATGATGTGTATGTGTCATCCATAGTAAGTATAGTAATATTCCCCCATAGTAAGCATAGTAATTAATCCCCCATATAGTAATTTCATCCCCCCATAGTAATCATCCCCCATATAGTAATTCATCCCCCATAAGTAATTCATCCTCCATAGTAATTCATCCCCCATATAGTAATTCATCCCCCATAGTAATTCATCCCCCATAGTAATTCATTCATCCCCCATAGTAATTCATCCCCCATAGTAATTCATCCCCCATAGTAATTCATCCCCCATAGTAATTCCCCCATAGTAATCCCCCATATAGTAATTCATCCCCCATAGTAATTCATCCCCCATAGTAATTCATCCCCCATAGTAATTCATCCCCCATATAGTAATTCATCCCCCCCTATAGTAATTCATTCCCCATATTAAGTCCCCAAGTCCCCCCTGTGTCAATTCACTTACCTTTGCTCCGCGCGTTCCTCTCGCCGTGTTCCCCGCGCCGTTCCGGTGTAGCATGAAAATCTGTCTCCTATGAGGATCTGTCCCCCTCGACGTATCTGCGCATGTGCCAGTTTCAGGCATTAGCAGCCGATCGGCGATCTCCGGCACATGCGCAGATGCGTCTTCAGGGCGGACTGTGAGTGGAGCTTAGCGGGAGCCTAGCTCCACGGGCCGGATTAAAAGGTCCGCTGGGCCGTATACGGCCCGCGGGCCGTAGTTTGCCCATTGCTGGTATAGATACTGCAATTTATACCATTTTTTTGCTATACAGTGCTGCACTTGTTTAACTGACAATTGCGCAGTCATGCAATATGGTACGTAAATGAAATTTATGCCCTTTTTTTCACACAAATAGGGCTTTCTTTTGGTGGTATTTGATTGCCTGTGCGCTTTTTATTTTTTGCGCTATAAACAAGAAAAGAATGAACATTTTGAAAAAAAAAAATATATTTTCTCATTTCTGTCATAAAAATATCCAAAAAAACTAAAATTTTGTCATAAATTTAGGCCAAAATGTATTCTGCTACATATTTTTGGTAAAAAAATCCCAATAAGCGTATATTGATTGCTTTGTGTGAAAGTTATAGCGTCTACAAACTATGGTATAGACAATAGAATTTACACGGCTTTTACTCTCTGACTGCCCATCAAATTTCTTGAGGTGCTAAAATACCAGGACAGTACAAACACCCCCAAATGACCCCTTTACGGAAAGTAGACACCCTAAGCTATCTGCTGAGAGGCATATTGAGTCCATGGAAGATTTAATTTTTTTTCCACAGGTTTTTGGAAAATGTCAAAAACATTGTTTGTTTTTTTACACAAAGTTGTCATTTAGATTATATATTTCTCACACAAGCCATGGGTATATGTGGAGTTACACCCCAAAATACATTCTGCTTATTCTACTAAGTATGGGGATACCACATGTGTGAGACTTTTTGGGAGCCTAGCCACATACAGGAGCCTGAAATCCAATGACCACTTTGAAAGCCTGAAGGTGCGTAACTTCCGCATTTCACTTCCTCACTACCTATCACAGTTTCAAAGACCCTGACATGCCAGGATAGCACCAGACCCCCCCCCCCCCCCCCCACCACAAATGACCCCTTTTTGGAAAGTAGACACTCCAAGGAATTTAAAAAGAACCATGATGAGTATTTTGCAGATCTATTTTTTTCACAGAAGGTTTTGACGTATAAAAAATGAAAAAGAAAAAATATGTTTTTGTTTTCTTTCTTCATTTTCCAAAAACTTGTGGCAACAAACGAGATCTGCAAAATACTCACCATGCTTCTTATCAAATTCCTTGGGGCGTCTACTTTTCAAAAAAGGGGTCATTTGGGGGGGGTTTGGTGCTATCCTGGCATTTCAGGGCCTCCGAAACTGTGATAGGTAGTCAGGAAGTGTAATGAGGAAATAAAGTCCTTTAAAAGCCTGAAGGTGCTTATTGGATTTTGGGGTCCTGTACTTGGCTAGACTGCCAAAACGTCTCTCACATGTGTTACCCCCATACTCGGGCGAAGTAGCAGAATGTATTTTGGGGAGTAATTCCACATATATCAATGGCATGTGTGAGCAATAAATCATTTAAGTGACAATTTTGTGTAAAAAAAAATATATTTTTTTTTGTCATTTTCCAAAAACTTGTGGTAAAAAACATTTTTTTTCTATTGACTCAACATGCCTCTCATCAAATAGTTTGGGGTGCCTACTTTCCAAAAAGGGGTCGTTTGGGGGGGTGAGGGCATTTTATGCCCAGCATTAGAAGTTTATGCCACACATCACTCACTCTTCTAACCACCTGAAGACCAGGCCTTTTCTGACACTTTGTTCACATGAAAAAAAATCTGTATTTTTTGCTAGAAAATTACTTTGAACCCCAGACATTATATATTTTTTTAAAGCAGACACCCCAGTGAATAAAACAGTGGGTGCTGCAATTTTTTATGTCACATAGTACTCGTGCAGTGATTTTTCAAACGCAAATTTTTTGAAAAAAATACACTTTTTTTTACTTTTAATGCACAAAAACACGATATATTGGCCAATTATTTGGTAAATTATAAATGATGATGGTATGTCGAGTAAATAGATACCAAACATGACATGCTTTAAAACTGCGCATGCCCCGTGCAATGGCAACAAACTGCATAGATTTTTAATATCTGTAGGCAACATTTTAAAAGCCTTTACAAGCTACCATTTTAGATTTACAGAGGAGGTCTAGTGTTAGAATTACTGCCCTTGATCTGACATTTGCGGTGATACCTCATATGCACGGTGCAGCCGCTGTTTACATACTGGCACAGAGTCAACGCTCGTGCACGAAGGTGCACGCGCGGGGGTTGGGCGAGGGTGCTTTTTTTTTT